ACATTCTGAAGCTCTTCTTGAACTACTCTGAACTACTCTCTTTTAAATCTACTTCAAAAACCCAGACAGTAGTTAAGTGGAAAAATTAATTATACTAGGCTTGGAGGTCCCCTGTCCGCCTAGTGGTAGAACAACATCCTTTATACAAATTAAGTTATACAACTCATCCTACTCATTTCTCACACTCTTTCTCACTGTTCAATCCATTACAGTAATTTACATGTACTATGTAGTTCTATTTTTTGTGTATTGTAAGCAAAGAACATTCAACTAATCTCTTTGCAAAAAAATTCTGTCTTTCGCACACTTTCTTCATTTGTTCCTTTTCTCGCAAAATTCATTCTTGTCTCTCTTTTTCAGTTAACTCCTTACGCCCCATTTTTACCAACTAGGTATAAATAAATTAATTACATCATCACGAAAAACTTTGTATGCATTTAGAGCACATTTTATGTAATTAATGTTTTATCTTGCGTAATTATTGCTTAAACTAAAATAGTGTAACTAGCTTATATCTGTAGATATAATACGTTAATATTACTTTCTGTTAAATTTTTTAAATTAAAAATAGTAATATTCACAAGCAACGCCATCCCTTAAGTTATAATGGTGTTTCGCTAGAAACTTGTGAAATATTGTAGACACAGCCAAGTCGGCATCAGTTTTGATGACTTGTGGTGATCATATGAATATTTCTAGAAATCACTGGAAAAATCTACAATATCACAATCTATGACATAAGCGGAATTTTTGAGAACGCGTTGGAAGGTAAGGGGTGCACAACCTATGTAAATATTTGCTGTTGCTTCTCTTCATTTAAATTAATTTTTATGATCCATTTTTACCAACCATTCCTTCTGTGTTAACAAGTTTATTACAGTATCATGAAAAACATTTTTTTATATAGAGAGATATATATTTAATATTATTCACCTAAATCATATACCTCAATGTTTTTATTTACATATTGCATAAGACGAATACATTCAATCCAACACAGAGGGAATTTTTTATTCATATACGATAAATAAAATTTAGAGGGGTACAAAGCTGTTTGCTCAAATTTTTTTTTCTAAATTGCATGAGCAATTTTTTCCACCCAATACTTCCTTAAACATTTCTGAAGAAACCTGACGTACATAATACTCTTTGAATACCCAAAGAAATAGTGGACAAAACATATCTAATGCATAACCTAGCTTTTGGTTTCGGTAGAGAAATCCCCTTTTTTGTGAAATATTTCATACTAGACAGCTTTGTTTTAGGGGAGTAATTGTGCTTTTAAATTTCTCCACTAGCTAAAAATCGCGGCCAAAACCGCTATGGTGATCGCACTAATTCATACCGATTCAATGCCTTTGAAAAACTTGAGTTCCTTTTCTACCTCTCAGAAAACTTTCAAAATTTAAAAAGACATTTATCTTACAGTGATTTTATGAAATTGCAAGTTTTTCTGAATAATAAGATGCACACTTGTCTATTTTATCGCGCATTTCATTAACTGCTATTCGTCAGGCATCAGTAAAAATGTCTCAAGTTCGTCAAACTTTCCTTTGTTGTGTCATTGATTTTATTAAAAAATATGAATCTGAAATTTAGAGAATCTTCAAGACGTTTTTTAAACATTATGCAGCATTTGTATACTTGATACTTCAATAGTATTTTATTAATAAACTAGGTATTTAATCTGTATGAAATTTCAATATATGTAACATTTTTATTCGTGAAGAATTAGTTAATAATATTTTACTGTGCACCTCTAATAGATACTTGTGTTAGAGGTGAGTATTAGCGTTAGAGACTTAATAAATGAATGCAAGGAGAATAAAACAATGCCAAAAGATTTTTAAACTTAAAACACGTATCATTGTTATGGCAAAATATGTGAAAGAAAAGCATATATGTACTATATATATATATATATATGTATTGTGTGTGTGTGTGTGTGTAATGACTCCCCCTTGCACTATTTAAATTAACTCCTTTTAAAATATTTTTTTAATTCTTTGGTACAATACTAATGTAATAATCTTAATCTAATTGCTCGCACGCGTTTGCAACCAATCACTACTACCGTTAGAAAAGACTCGCAGGACCTTCACCTCCAGTGTAAAAACCAAGAGCACTGGGTGCTCAACTTTTTTGTTCTTTGTCTGCTTGTCAACAACATGTCCTCTAAGCTACCTGCTTTCGTGTGCTTTAGTGTTTTAAGTAATGAGACTGTGAATCAACTGTAGCAATGTACTGATCAGAAAAATAAAATGTTACAAGTATGAAGTCTCCTTCAATATGCCACGACTACAACATAAAATGTAATAACCAAGAAAATTCCACGCATCTCAAGACATATATATATACATATATATATATATATATACGAGGGCTGTTCAAAAGTATCGAGACTGAATTTATTATGCAAAAACATACATACATAAACACGTTTTGAGTCAATCTCCTTCGAAATATGCTCCATTGGCAGTAACACACTTGGCCCAACGATGTTTCCAGTCCTCGAAACATTTCTGGAACTCAGACTTTGGGATGGCCTGAAGCTGCTGTGTCGAATTCTGTTTTATGGTTTCAATGTCCTGAAACCGGTGTCCTTTTAAGGGGTTCTTGATCTTGGGAAAGAGGAAAAATCAGCACCACTGCCTTCACTTATGCAATCTTGTCCTCATTGCGAGAGGTGGATGGGCGTCCAGAATGGGGATCACTGTTCACTGATTGACGACCCTCCTTGAATCGCCAGAACCACTCGAAAACCCGAGCACGACTCATTGCCTCATCTCCAAATGTTGTTTTCATCATCTCGTAGGTTTTGGTGCCCATTTTACGGAGCTTAAAGCAAAAACTTGATACAGATTCGCTAATCCGTGTTTTCACACATTTTCTTTTTTCGACGAACGCACGCAAACACTCCACGTGAAAGAAGTCAGTGTGACTGAACGGCGCGCTGTACAGACCTGCCGAATTTTGTGAGACAAGGTGAAATATGCACGTGCATGATGCGCACAGTCCTCCACTGGGGGTTTTCTCGAATAAATAGAATAAATTCAGTATCGATACTTTCTGAACAGCCTTCGTAAATATATATATATATATATATATATATATATAAATATATATATATATATATATATACTGGGATTTTTCTTAGAGTAGTTTCAAGCTTCATATTTAAAGAATTTATTAAATTAAACTTCACTATAATAAGAAGTCAGCTATATGTTTCGAAACACATAGTTTCTCTCTCAGAACTTTACTTAAATTTAGAAGCTAAAAATTTCGTTTTTTTTTTTTAACATTTATAAACCCGTGCACCACGAACGTATAACACGGAGTAAACAACACAGACAGAAGAAAGGATTACGACACAAACATCCATGCCTTCACCGGGATTCGAACCCAGTCCCTGCGGCACCGCAGTCAGCTTCACTGACCACTATACCGGATGGGCGGTGAAAAATTTCGTTCGTCTAACATTTTTCAAAGCTGCGATTATAATTCGTTAAGAGCTGAAGTTCCTGCAAAACATGTTTACTTAAAAAGGTATTGAATAATAAATTTATTATATTTTTTTGACGTAAGAAAATGTCAGTAGTTTATTGATAACTCCAAAAAAGGAAAATTTCATTTACGCCAACATAGCATGTTTTTTTTTCCATAATTTAGTACTTTAGGGTAAATTCAATTGCTTAAGCATCTCTAACTTAGTTTTCAATAACTTTTATACTGTTAATGATAATTAAGAATATAACACATAGACACATCCAAAAAGGATGCTTTTCCATGCACAAACCGACTTCGATTAGTTTTTTCTTCTTTTTTTTCTCTTTTTCTATTTGCATTCTTTTTTAAGCAACACAATTTGCACTGTAGGCTTACTTTTCGCAGGAGAAGGAGAAATATAGGATATAAAATATCGTTTTCTACGACAAGAAGGGTTATCTACAGTAGGTGAACTGCCAGAATTATATTTTGTCCAGAGGCTGCATCGTCATATTTATTAAAAAGCTTTTCTATAACTTGGATTAGAAATTCTAAAAATGTTTCCCAATTACATTTTTATAGAGGTAAATTGAGTTTCGGAATACCTTGTCAAGTAAATGTAAAATTATCTTTTTATAATATTTTTTTGAGTTTTCGGTCTGTCGAATGAGAGGATATTTCCTGATCTCAGAAATCTACAGCACCTATAGTTAGATTATAGTCAAAAATATTCTCTTTGGCTTGAGTACATCTTCATTTTTCTTATTTTTGGGGTTGATCATGAAAGTATCATGAATACTACTCATCAATCACGATCTTTTAAATTAAGTCAAAATTAAGATTTTACAAAGAAATAAAACCGAAATAAACTTCTCTCGTTATGTATTCGGGTATTACAATAAGGTTTACTTAAAAAAATGCCCCGTAAGATCTTCGTTGGGGTAACATTTTAGAATACTATTGCCATGCTCGAGATAATATGGGGCATGATAATTAAAATGTTAAAGGACCTTTGGAATATATTTACTAATACTTTAATCCCGAAATGGTGAAATCTTACCAAATTGAACTTAAATTCTGTTCTATACAAGTCGCTTGCATTTTTGTAAAAATATATCAATTAAAGGTTACAGACATTGCAGGTACAATTAAAGGTTACACAGCATTTTGAATGATTATTAAAAAGAAGAAAAATGTTAGTAAATATTAAAATATTTTTTATTAATTTTAAACTAAACTGCATTATAAAAAAATCAATTCCTACTTAGGTCAACAACGAAAATTTTATTTTAGTTACTTTTTTTTATTAAATAGTTACAATTAAAATGTACAAATATATTTATACATATGACCGAATCACAATATTAAGGGACAAAATACAAAGCAATTTTCCATTTTCCTTTCTATATATGGTGTTGGACTATTTTTTGTACAATTAATTCATTAATTAAATTTAATTTTCCAATAAAATAGTATAGTAAAAAAAATATTCACATTCTCAGAAGCTAGGTCGTCTCAGGTGGGATTCGTACCCACTACCCTTGAATTATAAGTTCAAAACGTGATCCATTGTTCTACAGGGACGCGACAAACTATTTTTTTTCTAAATATGATCTTGGACTATTATTTTTGTGTTTGCTACCATCTATTATTTTTTAAATTTAATTAATGAATTAATAATTGAAAAAACTGTATTAACATGAAGTGTCATCCACTACAAGTTTAAAAAAATGTATTTGAACTTGAACGGAGAATAGAAAGTATTTTATTAACGATTGAAAATTTGAACAAGATATATATATATATATATATATAGGGAGAGAGTGAACAGATAGTTGGAATTGAAAAACAGTAAATATATGATGAAAACGTTATTTTCGTTATTATTTATTTGGGAATAAATAATAAACATTGTTTTTTTACCTCTCATTTATTAAGAATTCAGTGAAGGTCAAAGATCCTAAAATGCAAGTGTGTGCATTCTAGAAATTATGCAATGAATATATGCACATTTATGATTTAAAAATATTTAAAAAATAATATAAAGGTACACAATATATGTTTTTTATACATATATGTGTCACACGCAAAACCTGCTAATTAAAATTCTATTTGATTATCTTCCAGTATATTAAGATTTATTTAAATCCTATCTCACAGCCAGAAATTACCAACATTAGTGAGATTTACCTCAGCCTTCATGACTAAACTTCCAATATTGCCGTAATCACTTATTTAAAAGCTGTCAGTATTCAAAATGCATCGCTGCTAGTAACTTGAGTGATTTCGATTTGACGTTTAATACCTAACTGCAAATACATTAGACACATATGTCGAGATAAAGTCATTATTACTGAAGAAGACTAGTCCTTGCTTTCGTTTTAAAATCTTGCGTTTGAATAAAATGCATTATGCATTGCCTTTCGTCAGACGTTATCTGCACATTTGACTCATTTGCATCATCTGTGGAATGAAGAAAATTAGCGTAAAGGGTAACGTAGCCTTCTCAAGAAACCATTTTTATGTAAATTACCTTAAAAATTGAAACACATTTTGAAGGCGAGAAACGGTTAGAAAAGGGGTGTCTAGATAATAATCGAGTTAAGGTATCGGATGGTAACAAAGGAAAAATGACTTTCTCTCTTGCAGTGTTTTAAATCTCGCTGCGTATGATAAGTGTCGAACTGAATATAAATTGAGAAAATTTGGATGGAATTTCTGAATCATCAAACTCATCAAACAAGCATATGTTAGCAAATTCTTATCTTCTTTTTTTGGAAATGTATTGATGCATTCAATGAATGTATTATATTTCAGAGTCTTTATGGCTGTGGAATGTAACTAAATCTTAGGAGACTGATGTTCATAAAATTAAATTTATTTTCCTTTTTTTGTTTTCTTAAAAAAAAGTAAAATATTTTTTAAAAGTATTTTTGATTAACATGAACTTTTTTTTGTTTACTGTTTATAAAGATACCTTTCAAAACAGTGTGTAAGGAAATAAAATCATAATAAATATTAATAATTGATAGAACACATCAAAATTCTTGAAAAACTATTTTTATATATTATCGGCACCCATTTTTAAGATTTCCGTAATATTTAAGATAATACATATTCCGTAATATTTTACTTTTTACATAGTTTTATTTCATTGTTTCTTTGAAGAGAATTTATATGATATAACATAATATAAATTATTCCTCTGAAATAATTAATAATAGAAAAAGTATGTTTAATTAAAGTAATTTGATATATCTGTCAATACGTAAGCTTTTTTTTGTAGTAATGGCATAATTTCCCTTACATTCAAATTTTTTAAAAAACATTTTACATTTTGTGTGAAATTTTTAAGGAATTAATGCAATTTTTATTTTTAACTAAGCAGAATACGGGACATTTAGAATGCTAAAATCAAAACTATTCAAATATAGAAAGGTTCTTTTGTTTGTTCAATTACATATGCAAATTAAAAGAAACATCAATCAAGAAAATACAGGTTTAATACTTTCTGATACAGTAAGTGGCCGATATTTACTAGAAGAAAAAAAATGAACCAGATAAATAGAGTCATTTTGAAGGTTAGAAATGAAGCTTATGGGGGTATATCTTTCATTCTTTCTCATTTAACCAAAATGTAAACATACTAGTAATTACACGCTTCAGTGTTAAAGAAATGAGTGTTTTATGAAACTTAATCCTAAATTCTTTTCAAATATATCCTTCGTAAAAAATCTATGCTAAAATTATTGACACACACACTCTTCTATTACTCTTTAACATGCTCGAATTCAACTTCACAGATTCAAGAAAAACATTCTAACATAAATTTAGTTTATACTAATTGAACTTATTGGACAATGCACATATATTAAAACACAATTCCATTTACTTCTCTCTGTTAAAAATGTTGAACAAATCAGAATACCAAAATCATAAATTTTCATTCCAAAGCATTACTTTAAAATTAGTTCAAATTTATCAATGGTAATAAATTCCTAATTTTTAAGATACAAATGTCAGATTAAATTTTCATATTTAGGTTTTGCCCATTGAGATTCATTTTAGAGAAATTTTAATTATACTTTAAGATTGTAAGAAGGAACTAGTTATAAAATTTAATATAAAAAGGCCAGATTTAAAAGTGAAAAGTTAAAATAGTCAACAAATTATACGTCTAATATTATGTCCTTAACTTATAACTTATACTAGATTATCTAGTTATCTTACATTGGTTATAAAACTAAGCCTGAAATAATTTAGCTAGATTAATGTATTGTAGAAGGAAGAAAATATTCATAAGAAAGAATGAAAAAATCTAGATACTTTGAAAATAATAATTAAATAAATTTTACCTAAAATAAATATTTTAAATATAGTTTATATCTTCTAGAACAAAATGTATATTTTAATACATTATGAATGGTACTTTTATTCAGAAGATAACGGATGATTGAATTTTTTTTTATTTAGAAGTTACAGCTTGATTTTACCGGTACTGTTTTATCACAGTATATTATAGAAATGTAATATATGACTTGATGTTTACTTTTATAAAATAAATATTCTTTTCACTCCAAGAATCTGGGCTATTTTGATAAAACTAAGGACATAATATTGCACACACAGCGTATACTGAATTATTAAATATCCACTGCCTCCTCTGAATTTCCCTTCTATTATTGAAAGATATCTCCTGACTTGGGATTACGGGAAACTAAGTTTACGATGAATGTAGCTGTTCAAAATTTGATGCTCCTAACAATGAGCGAGAACTCTTTTCGTAAGGCAACAACACACAGTGATTTGCATATGAAATGAGGGCGAAAACAATACACTGCTGAATATTTTAGCTTTCCCTCAGTATATCCGTTATGTCCCGGTATTATAGTTAAGCCTTTTGTAATCCGGAGTTATAAATGTTCTAAATTTTATGTTCCAGGACAACATATTGCGTAACATGTAATTTTGAGAAAAAATCTCTATATTATAAATAGGGAACAGCTTGCTATAATTATTTGGACTGATATATTTTTGCTTTAAGTAAGTCAAATTTTTTTTTAAATTTGAAAATGTTTTCTCGTTAAGCAAATGCTTTGCAGCTTTTACTTTAAATTAGTTTTTGGAAACGATCGAAAGAAACTTTAATTACATTTTAAAGTTAATTTAGTGCAAGATAAGATCACAAGATATAAAATATACTTAAAAATTCACATAGAAAAGTACTACTAAATGTAGCAGGATTGAATATTTTCACATGGTATATAGTTGTTTATTATAGCCAGGTCAGAAAACTCGATGTACTTCAGAAAATGTGCTACTCATGGAGTAAGAAACTACTTTTTTATCTTATACGTTAAAATAGAGACAAATTTTTTATTACAAGCATAAAAGACTATTATCCACATAAATAGAAATTATTACTGTAATAATTACTCACATAAAAATTTCAATGAATTTAGAATAAATTAAAAATACTGGACAAATTCTGTAGTAATTATAAAGTTGTGTTCTCCATTTACTGCAGTTGGTTAATATCGTAAATGCAACATCAAGAAAGACAAGAGATAATACAAAAAAATTTATTTTGTGGATAACATGTTGACCAAGTATCAAATGATTCAATTTATAGACTTCTGTGAAATGTGGTTCCTGCCAGAATAACTAGGCAGAGTAGCCAACATTGTTGGAGATCACCGCTGCGACACACCTCGGCATTGATTCAACGAGACTTTGGATATGTTCTTGGGGTACAGCAGACCAAGCAGCTTCCACACGTTGCCAAAGTTGATCTGGTGTGGCAGCTGGGGGTGTAATCTGGGTCAATCGTTGAGCAACCATGGACCACATGTTTCTATCGGTGAAAGATCCGGAGAGCGAGCCGGCAAGGGAAGCAATTCAATCTGGTGATTGACGAAGAGCCTTTAGACAATACGTGCCACGTATGGTCACGCATTATCCTGTTGAAATATGGCTGTGGACAAGCCCTGAAGGTAAGGAAAGACAACTGGCTCCAACACCTCGGAGATGTAGTGCCGGCTGTTTTAAGTACCGGCAATGCGAACTAGAGGAGTGCGAGAGTGATATTCAATACCGCCCCATACCATAATACTCGGTGCAGGACCAGTGTGGCGGTGAAGAACGCAGCTGTTCAGCATCCTCTCTACACGGTGTCTCCAGACTCGAATCCAAACCATCGTGGAGTTGCAGACAGATGCGTGACTCGTCAGGAAAGACAACTTCATTCCATTCTGCAGCCCACATCCGCCTTTCATTGCACCATTGGTGGCGGAGATGTCTGTGGTTCTGCGTCAAGGGTAGACCAAGCAATAGACGTCTTGCGGACAGACCACTCAGCTGTAAACGGCATTGAATGGTACGCGCAGACACTGAATGATGCCTTACAGACTCAATACGCTGTGCTATGGTTCGTGATGTGACTGAGCGATCCGTCACTACTATACGCACAATTTGCCTGTCCTCACGTGAAGTGGTGCACAGAGGTGGATGCGATCGACCACGTCGGTCCGTCGTACCCACCTATATCCAATGGTCACATATTCGCATTACAGTTGTTTGGTTTC